TAACAGAGGAATGTTAACTGTAAATCTGAAGACAGTTGTTTTTCCCCCTCTAGGGTTTTGTTCGTTAACAGAAGGATTTCCCTCATCAAAGGCAATGGGTATGTGATGCTTTCAAAAAATTTGCACTTTACCTGTAGCAATTTGCTTTTCAATATCTACATTTTACGGGTTCCTCTCTAGGAGGGAACTAATCGGTACTTGTAACATCATCTTATAGTTTGTATTGATGCTGTCTTAATTTAGCAGAAAATAAACAGACTCAAGTGGGTAAATTATCTACCCAAACCTCTCCACTTCAGAGAATCCAGCCCCTGTCAGTTCTGATAACCTTATCACATCATTCCCCTCGGAAACAATTTGGGCCATTTCCATGACTCCCTTTGAGAAGTTTCCAAACCTCCCTCATGGTGTCCTGCTTCACTGATTTATTAGTTACGTACCATTGCTTAGGACTGCTTTTGATGAAGGTTAAGGATGCCTTTAGTCATCAGAACTGACATATGTGAGAAGTTAAGACACCGTCTCTCACTGACCAGCAGAAATAAAACAACCTAGCATTCAGCATGGCCGGTTTTGCAAGGATTAATGCCCTGTTAAGCAGGCTGACATGTTTTTAGTTTGTATTACTAATACATAATTCTAACTTCTAGATTACAGAACATTACCTGTGAATAAATGGGATGAGAACCATGTCCAGTGTTGGCTAGAATCTACTGGAATCAAGAAAGAGTATGTAGAAAAACTACATGTGGAAGAAGTGACAGGTCTGGCGCTAATGGAACTGGATGAATCTTTCCTCAAAGGGAGGCCAAATCCACATCTTAATCCGCAAGAGAAATGAACTTCGGCAGCTACAGGAAAACGCACAGAAAGACAAGCATTCCAGCAGCAAAACATCTGGCAGAACTGATGTGCAAACAGATCCAGTAAGACCCAGAAATGCCCCTGATCAAAAAATTTCAAGTGCAGACAGCAATGGTCCAGTAGATAAAACCAGCAGAGACAACACAGCTTCTACTTCTGACAAGAGGCAAAGGAAACGTAACAACTCCCAACTCAAGAGCACTGATGAAGCTTTAGAGCTCAGCAACTGTCGACCATTTAGAAGTCAGAATACTGATTTCAAATACGTGAAAGACAGAGTTCTCGCTCCAGAATCAGGAGTCAGTGATTTAATCACTCCTTGCCATGAATACAAATCTTCTGCCATTGCTGCAGAACTGAACAAAAATCAATTGCAATCAAAATTTGCTTGCGAAGTCATACGATTTGCTTCAGCCTGCATGAACATTCGAACAAATGGCACCATACACTTTGGTATCATGGACAGCGTTGAGGACAGGGCTTGGAAACACGGACAGATCATTGGCATAAAAGTCAAAGAGTGAGAACACTATGTTGATGCGTTAGCCTATATAGAAAAATGTTTTCGTGAAGATGTACAAGAAATTGCAAGGAAATGCATTCACCCCCCTGTTTTTGTTGAAGTGATTTCGAAAGACTCTCAGAAACAAAGATTTGTGGTGGAGGTTGACATTGAACCAACATCCAGTTTAGTAAAGAACAGATTTTTTGATGTGTATTTGCCAAAATACAATGAAAGCAGCCAGAAGGTGACCCTGACAAAAGATCGAACTCTCTATCAGAGACTAGGGGCAAAGTCTGAACCCGTGAAGCACGACGATCTACCTACTTTTATTCAGGGCTTACAAAACAGAGACACCCAGAGAGAAAAAGCAGAGCTCTCCAGCACAGACGTACATACAGATACATCTCAAAATTTAGGAAGAAAGTTGGCAATTCTACTAAATGATGGCAAAAGCTATATGGATGATTCCCTACGGTACATCCTTGTCACAAACAGATGTGAAAAGGAAAATCTCAACTATATCAACTTTTTAATGTACTTGAACATTTTCTGCGTCTTTGATGAAGATTCTAACGTGTCAGGGCTGTACAGCAAGTACAAAGAACACCATGCTACAAGGTCTTATTTCTTACAGGACTTTTCCAATGAAAGTAAGACTGGCAACCCTGCCTCTCAGAAACATTTGTGCCTGTTTGACCAGACCAGCTGGATATTCTGCAATGGGCGCAGTGACTTCCTCGGGGATGAAAAACCTTGTGATGAAAATACATGGATAAGAACGAAAAAAAAAATACCTTAAGAAAGCAATTACTCGTATCTGTGATGAAATCCTGCCGAAGCGGTCCTTCATCGTGCTCTTCCTGTTGCTCTCACCAGTGCAGAAACCACTCGTGGACACTTTTCAGGAATTCTATACAGAGATGAACGGCACGGAGTACATTGTTTGCATTGCAGAGTCCAGAGAAAACTATGGGAAGTGGGCTAATCTAGCTCAGGCATCCTGCAGCATCGAGACACTAGAACAATGCAGTGTTGTGGGGATGAAACTAAGTCACGTAGATGCCACCATTCAGAAGATGCTGCCTTCTACAGCACAACCCAGACACCTGCCAGTTTCCACTAGAGGGCTGTGTACACTTCCCTCGCTGGAAGAAGAGATGTTTTGCCTAGAAATCCTCTGTGTTGACCAATGCGATGATATCAAAGTAGATCTTTTGACTGAGAAACAAATACAAGAAATAGAACAAAATTTTTACCAAGGGAGAAAAATAATCTGGGAAAACTTCTGGCTTGCTGATAAAAGACGTTGTGGGGAAATCATTGAACGTGAAGCATGTAAGGATGCCAGAAAACTCCTAGATGACATTTTACGAGGAAGTGGACTCAACTGTTCTGTGGCTAAACTAAAGATATTTCACCATCCTGGAAGTGGTGGAAGCACAACAGCAAGGCAAGTTCTGTGGAAAAGAAGAAAGGACCTAAGATGTGCCATTATCAAAGCCTCATATTCACCTGCAACTGTTTGTGAGCATGCACTTGCATTCAGAGATTATGAAGAAAAAGAAATCAGTCACTGTCTCCCTGTGCTCCTCCTGATCGAAGATTATGATGAAGATTATTTAGAAGAACGGAGGAATGAGTTAATGGATGCTGTAGCAACTAAGAAAATTAACTCCCCCAGACCTTACTTCATCCTCATGTGCTGTAGACAATCATGACCCTGAAAGGCTTTGCAAGGCCTCTCCACTGGACACAGCTGCTGTCACTCACAATCTGACGGACTCACAGAAAAGTCTGTTCAGAACTAAACTTGAAAAACTAAAGCAGAAAGATGTCAAGCCAGAATTCATACTTACTTTTGTCCTGATGTGCAAGGAGTTCAATGAAACATATGTGAGAGACTTTGTGGGGCACATAATGCAAGACATCGACCGTTCTTCTCGTGATACATGTTTGATGCGTTATGTGGATTTGCTTAATTTTTATGTACCCAATTCAT